TCTGAGCTGTCAGCACAGAACCTGATGCGGGGCTCTAACTCACAAACCATGAGATGCTTAACTGACTGAGCCACCTAGGTGCCTGATCAGGCACTGTGCCTGATCTTTCCCACCCTCCATAATCCAAACCTTCCATCCATCTCAACCGACTTAGTTCCCTACATGCTGTAAAATCTACCCTGATTTGGGTAGATTGGTTTCTCTCACATTTGCATCTATAAAATGGGGATAATATGTACCTACCTCATAACAGTTATCAAGAGCATTCAATGCAATAATGCCTATAGGTGTAATTTCTTCTTTTACTCATAGTTTATCCAAATGGGAGTCATTAACTTCCAGATCTTGGTGTTCCTCTAGATGTTTATTGCTAGTTTGTTGTTGTTGTTGTTGTTGTTTACTTAATAATTTTATGGTCTGAGAACATACTTGGTAAGATTTTCATCTTATTGAGATTTGTTTTATTGCCTAGCATATGGTCTTTTTGGTGAATGTTTCTACAGTCTTCAACTGTGATTGTGACTTTTTCAGTATTACTAATTTGCCAGTTTTTGGTTCAAGTATTTCGAATCTGGCAGCTTCAAACTGTCGAAGTATTTAGGCATTTACACTCAATATAATTATTGATGTTTGTGGTGAATAGTCCATGTTGCTGTCTGTTTTCTATTTTTGTCTTTTTAAAAATATTTTTTAAAGTTTATTTATTTATTTGGCAAGAGAGAGACAGAGAGTCCCAGCAGGGGAGGTACAGAAAGAGAGCAGGGGGAGAGAGAATCCCAAGCAGGCTCCATGCCGTCAGTTCAAAGCCTGGTGCAAGGCTCAGACCCACAAAGTGTGAGATCATTACCTGAGCCAAAACCGAGTCAGACGCTTAACCCACGGAGCCACCCAGGTGCCCCCCCTTTATTAAATTTTTCTGGTACTTCTTCCTTGCCTCTTTTGTCTTAGTGAAAGACATTTTATTTTCCCTATTGGTTTTTAAGCTATAAATCATCATATTTTTTTTTAAATGGTTACTCTGGGAATAACAAAATGCATCTTTAACTTATCCATATCTGTGGATATTTCCATATATCTCTTACCAGTCTTAATTTATTGTTATATATATGTAACTCTATAGCCTTATAAACCGATCGATATTCCTGATATGTGCTGTATTACAGTGTTCTACTTACACCTTTAAAAGTCATCTGTCTTTTAAAGAAATTAGGAGAATAAAGTAAATATATAGTCATTTATATACGTATACACACATGAATATTTATACACACATGCATATACTTTTTTTCTTCTGCTGCCGCCTCATATACATATTGTATTTAACTTACATACTACTTACTCATATATTATCATTTTCAGATTTCTTGTAATCTCAGTCACCATATAATGTTATTTTCTTTCAACCTGAAGAAGCTTCTTGAGCCTTCCAAGAGTGCAGATATACTAGAAGGGAATTTTCTGGTTTTGGATATCTGAAAAAATGCCCGATTTTGCCTTCATTTCTTTGTTGAGATTCTCTGTGCGTTCATTCACTATTACCATATTTTCCTTTAATTCTTGTGTATGTATTCCTTTACTTTTTGAACGTATTTGTAAGTAAATGTTTTGAAGGTCTTTTTAGCTTCTAAATCTAATACACCTGTGCCCATTTAAGTCCATTTTTGTTGACTGTTTTTGCCAAATAAATATGGGTCATGCTTTTCTCTTTCCTTTTCCCTTTTCTTTCATTGCCGCCCCCTTTCCCTTCCCTGTTCCTTTCCCTTTCCTGCAGTTAAACCTAGAATACACAGTTACCAGTTTTCTAGAATTACTTTTGGATGGTTTCCAGTTTCTTAGCATCTTATTTTTTTTAAGATACTTTTTAAAAAATTATTATCTATAGGAGAGTTAAACATATGTTTTACGCCCCCACCATTGAGTTTGTAATCTGTTATTATTTTTTTAATTTGATTGTTTGATTTGTATTTGATTATTTTTCTAATTTCCTATGTTATTTTGATTATTTCCAATTCCCTCTCTGTATTTCAGAGTTGTCTTTTATTTAAGTGTAGTAAACATAATTGTTTTCTATTATGTATATAATTGTGATATCATTTGATTTTTATGGATATGTTCTTTTTTTCATTTATGATTTCTTATATCATTATATACATAATTATTATTGATCATTTGGTGCTTATTGCCCTTAAAAAATTATTCATGAGAATTATTCATGTGAAGAGCCTTTTTATTTGTTTCTTCCAGGTATCTAAGAGTACTGCCACTGTGAAGGCACTTTTAAATTATTGGCTTTAGTTTGCCTGACCACCTAGTAATGCAGATTTATACAGCAAATCCATGTGATGGCCAGACTTGTTATAATCTCAAATGGTGTTGGCCTACCACTTTATTTTTTTCTTTCTGTCATTCTGTGCTTATAAAGTGGTTTTTTTTAATACTTTCCTGAGTATTTTTACTTTTTAGTTGAAAGGTCAATCCAAATAGTGCCTTCTACTATGTTATTAAAAATGAATGCCCTCTATGTTCTTTAAGCTCTTTCCAATTTCAAGAAAAAGTCTTTGTAAACATAAATATTTCACTAAGGAAATTTATTAGATTTGTGACCATATAAAAACACATGAAATAATAAACTAACAAATGCATATTTAATGAATGAGAAAAATATGTATTAAATATAACTATAAAAATAGTGTGATTTTGGTTTTTTTTGTTTGTTTTTCTGATGACTGAAATGGATTTGTATAAAATGGTTGATAGCTAGAGTCATCCCGAAAACCTTTATTATACCAGTAGAATTTCAGCTAGCTGTAGAACAAAGGAAATACAGCTCAGTAAGGAAGGAGTCAGATTATCTAGGTCAGGGGAACAGCAAGTTACTGAGAGGCAGGCGAATATGGTTTAAACGTGCATTCAGAGTAGTATGAGGATTCAGTAAAGAAACAAACCTGACTAGTTCTGGTCAAAAGTAAAAGGAAATATTATAGGAGATAGATGAGATTAGTCTACGTTCTAGATATCTCAGGAAACCTTGACAAAAAAATTGGGTAAAACAATAGGAGGCCTAGTATAGAGAGGGGAAAAACAGAGCACCTTTTGAAATAAATTTATTTTCTAGTTGTACACCATTAAGTTAATTTCTAATATGTACATAAAAATATTTACTCCTCAGTATGTAATGGTACCAGAGCTCTTCCCACCCGTGCCCAGCCTAAAGATTTGACTTCTCTGTATGTAATATGCTGTACCAGTTCCCTTTGTCTATGCTAATTGTTTTGTTATTTTTTTTTTTTTTTGGTAGCTCACAGAATATGAGTGGCTCACCAGTCCTGTTTCTTAATCCAGTTTTACTGAGCCTATTTTTAGTAGACATGCCTCATATTTTAACAGGTCTTTGTTAGGGCTTGTTTTCCATATTGTTGTTAGCTTTAAAATCTTTCCTAATGCCTTCATTGGTATTTTAGTGGGAGAGACCAATACTAATCAGATGCCCTTTTAAATACTGGAAACACCTCTTGGGTTTTGAGAGAAACCGTATCTTTATATGGCTTATCTCCAAAGGATCTTAGTCATTTGTTCATTTGAAAGTTATTGAAGGTTTTCTAAGTGTCAAGTGCTTAAAAAAGTTTAATCTCTTGCATAGTAGTGCCAGATGTGCATGGAATGTGTGTGTGGGGGGAGGGGGAAGAGAGACCCTTTCATCAAGATTTATTTTCATTAAAAGGTCACATACTAAATTTTGATGGGTGTAATGTTTGACTTTAAAATTTATGTTTAGCTAGCAATTTTTAGTAGTAGTGCTTCTTAACTTTCATACTGATTATTGGTTATAAAATATGATTTGATTTTTGAAAATTAGGTTTAAAACCAGCTTTCACATGAAGTCCTAAGCAGTCTAAATATGCGTTGGGCTAAATCTCAAGTATAGTAAGCACTTTATAGTTGAAGGGCTAGAACTGAATGGCATGAGTCTTAATTCCTGTTCTGTGATTATGTTGGAGTGTTACTGTGGGAAAGTTCATTTCATTATATTGGAGCAGGTGATCAATAAGATACTTTATTTTTATTTTTATTTTATTTTATTTTTAAATTTTTTTTAATGTTTTATTCATTTTCTGAGAGAGAGAGAGAGAGAGAGAGAGAGCAGGGAAGGGGCAGAGAGAGAGAGGGAGACACAGAATCCAAAGCAGGCTCCACGGCCTAAAATTAATGATATCTCTCTAGAGAGTGGAGAAAAAATAAATACTCTATCTTTTCTCAACCTATATTCTATTCATCTAACATCTGGTGAGGATAGTGAAGCCAAAATTAGCTCTTCCTCTTTGCATTCAGGAAATCCATAAGGCAGCTATTGTTAAAACTTATCCAAACTTATTTGTAATCTTATGAATTATTATCAGTAGAAAATATGGCTGGAGGGGCGCCTGGGTGGCGCAGTCGGTTAAGCGTCCGACTTCAGCCAGGTCATGATCTCGCCGTCTGTGAGTTCGAGCCCCGCGTCAGGCTCTGGGCTGATGGCTCAGAGCCTGAAGCCTGTTTCCGATTCTGTGTCTCCCTCTCTCTCTGCCCCTCCCCCGTTCATGCTCTGTCTCTCTGTGTCCCAAAAATAAATAAACGTTGAAAATATGGCTGGATTATGTATGTGAAATATAAAACCATGCTCAGGAATATGTAAAAATTTTGACTTTTAAATCTGCACTACTAAGTGAGCATCATTGGGTGTTTCTTTTTCTATTAATATTTGGCATTTAAAATCTTAACATTGAAGAAATTTTTTCCATTTGACCTTTTTTCCCCCTGTGAACTGAGTAAAGCTATTCTTAGTTTATTTTAGCAGTGCAATATCTGAGCCAAACTTTTAGTATACTAGTTTTGAGAGCGAATGTATTTTGGGAAACCTCTCTCTGAGATGATGTATTTTAATCTATACTCTCTCAATTTGAGTAATTCAGTACCTAATAAAAAATTGCTCATTTCAGGGTATGGGAGCTTTTGAAATGCTAGTTTACAATCCATAATCAAAAAGTGATGTTGATAAAATATTTTTTCATTATTTTAGTATAAGCCGCCTGCACTTAAAAAGTCAAATTCTCCTGGAACTGCACCATCAGGATCTTCACGATTACCACAACCAAGTGGCACTAGCAAAACTGTTGTAGGTAATGAGCTCCATAAAATAATTTGACTTTTTTGGTGGGTAGAGAGTAAAGATGGAAATTAAGAGAGTGTTCTGTTTTGGATTATTAAAATAGATTTATAATTTGGAAGAGATGTGGAGGATAAATAATTCTTTGTGGGTAAAAGTAAAGTAATTTTCAATAACTTCTACTTAGGATATTTTATAGTACTTTTTTTCCCCACCTTAAATGTCTGTCCTTGGTATTTTTACTGATACATAACCTGTCAGAGTCAACCTGTCTGATCAACCAAGTTCTTTTCTTGATTCTTTAACCACAGCATTTTCCACTCATTTCTATATGTACTGCTCTAAACTTGACAGTTGTCCTAATAGACACGTTTAATGGTTTGAAGAAGATATTGATTAACTGAAGTGTACCTTTGTTTATACATAAATTGTAATAAAGGAATATGGAAATTTTAAACGAAGGATGTTATATGTTGTTCTCTGGAAATTTCATTAAAAAAAACCATTAGTTGATAACTTGTTTTGATTTATTGCCACAAAGATTCATCGTGACTAAAGCATCGTTTTCCTTGTCAGATTCTCTGTTTTATGTGATTTTTCTCTTTCAGTCTGTTGTTAAAACTAATACCTTTTTTATTATAAGGTGTGCCTTCAGGTAAAGCGTCCTCAGTTAGCAGCTCTTTGGGAAGCAAACTTCAGACCTTATCTCCCTCCCATAAAGGGATAGCAGCTCCTCATGTAGGGTAAGTCAGTTTGAATTTAATTGATTAGTGATACGTGTGTGTGTGTGTGTATGTGGATATATACATATACATGTATACATATGTGTATGTATATGTGTACGTGTGTGTGTATGTATGTATGTATGTAAGTGATGCCAAAGTTTTATGTTTAGATAATTGGCCTTTTTATTAACCTTGATTTTCTTTCTAAATTTCATTTGTCTTTTAATATATTGCTGTTCAGGGGCACATACACTACTGTTCAGTGTCTAAATTAGGATTACCATTTTGCAAAGAAATCTAGTAGCATGTATCAAGAGCCCAAAACACATTCATATATTCAGTTGAATAATTTTACTTCTGGGAATCTAGTCTAAGGAAATCATTTGAAATACAGAAGATTTTTGTAATAACCATTTTTTATTAAAAATTACGTATCAGGCACTGTGCTAGACATTTTTCACATATTTTTATTAAAACCACCCCACCATCATAGGATGAGGGGATCGGAGAAGCAAAGTAATTTGCTTGAAGCCACACAGCTATTAAGAGTCGGAAGCAAGATACCAATTGGAGTCTCTTTGGCTGTAAACATTAGTTTCTTTTCATATGGTTTTATTACAACGTAAAAAAATAAAATCAAACCACCTAAGTTTCTAGCTTTTGTTTGAATAGAAAATTATGAAAATCTACACAGGGATATTATACCACCATAAACTGTATATAAATTTTAAGGAGATGATTCTATTATTATAGGAAAGGAATGTAGGATATAAACTCCATGTATACTGTGATAGAAGCTATAAAAATGCATGTAGACAAAATATGCTGAAATATTAACAGTGGATGATTATTTTCTATTTAGTAGACTTGTTAAATACTTTTTATCTTTCTACAGTCTTATATACATGGGTTTTAAGAAAGTAGTATAATTAAGCTTTCCACAATTATTTTATGTTAATATGGGAAAATTTTGTTTGTAACACCACAGATTTTAAACATCCTCCTATCTCAGTAGAAACTCTTTTTCTCTCTCATTTTGATAAATCAGAAAATTAAGGGTTACCATGTGATCATTAGAATGAGAGCTTATGGGCAGCTGGGTGGCTCAGTTCGTGAATTCTCCGACTTTGGCTCAGGTCATGATCTCACAGTTCGTGAGTTCGATCCCCACGTTGAGCTCTGTGCTGACAGCTCAGAGCCTGGAGCCTGCTTCAGATTCTGTGTCTTTCTCTCTGCCCCTGCCTGCCTCACTCACATTCTGTTTCTCTCTCTCTCTCTCTCAAAAATAAATAAACATTAAAAAATTTCAAAAAAAAATAAGAATGAGAGCTTATGTCTATACAGATACTAATAAAGTTGCTTTAGGAAATATAGCACACATATTTTCAGATATTTTCAGATATGGGTTATCATTTTTGTTTTTAATGTAGGAAATATATAGAGAGTTATCTATAAAGTAAGAGTAACTATCTCCCTCCAACTCCCTAATTTGGACTACATAGAAAGCACAAAATCTAAATTAAGTTAATGTAAGTATCATTGTAGAAAAAGAAAAAGTCAGCTAACAAGATCTGATTAGTTACATGTTTTTTTTCTTTTTATTGTGCTTCCATAAAGAAGACACAGGCTATTCTTAAGAAAGAGGTTATCAGAACAGGTGGTTAAAAAGTAGGAAGTTTGGTTGTAAAAAACGATTTTATGATATTTTTTTAGTTTCTCTATTGAATTGACTCAGATAATTTTTAATTAAAGTGTAGACAGTAATATATGCACTTTAACTTTTACAAAGCTTTTTTTACCATATCACAGAACTGCCTTCCATGTTGTGTTATAGTTTCATTTACAGTTGTTCATGAATTAAAAGCTCATATTTTTTTACTGCCTTTCCTCTCCTACTAGTAATTTTATCTGTTGGCAATATTAAGTTGTCCTGACACCCTACCCTGTATTCTTTTTTTTTTTTTTTTATTTTTTAAAAATTTTTTTTTTCAACGTTTATTTATTTTTGGGACAGAGAGAGACAGAGCATGAGCAGGGAGGGGAGGGCAGAGAGGGAGACAGAATCTGAGTCAGGCTCAGGCTTTCGGCTCTGAGCCATCAGCCCAGCCTGACGCCAAGTAGCTGGGCTCGAACTCACAGAACGCGAAATCGTGACCTGGCTGAAGTCGACTAACCGGATTTTATGCCACTTCATGCATACCACCTGTGTATTCTTAATAGGGCATGTTAAACTGGCAGGTGTAATGAAAAGGGGCACTGCCTTTGGATTAGAAAGTTAGGCTTCTAGATCCTACTTTGCCGCTGAATAGCCATATAACTTTGTGCATATCTCCTCTGTCTCACTCAACTGATCTAAGAAACTCTGACCAACATTTATATAATCCTGAGGAGAAAATTTGTTTTTACTAACAATTAGCAAAGACTTTGAGCACAGTAATTTTATAAATTATGCACTGCTTACAATGCCATGAAGATTTAAAATGTCTGGTTGTCTCACATGGTATTAAACTGTCAAACATAACTGTGTAAATGTCAGTTGTCCATTTTATATATAGTCCTTACATGTTAGCAGAATGTTTCCAACTACTGCCAGAGAGCTTTGGTGTTTGCTTGTGGCCAGTATGTTACCATATTAACTGGAACATTACTATATTACTATATTAAGTAGAACCATTCATTGCTACCTGTTTAGTGTCAGAGTTCATTTTTTTTTTTTAATTATTGAGTGTATTGTTATTTATTGATTATGTTGATTTATACTTTTCCTTTGCTAGATCGTAAGCTCTCTGGCCAAAGCTCATGTGTCTGTCTGTCTGTCTTGCTTACAAATGTAACTATAAAATGTAGTTTAATGCCTGGCATAGAGGCACATAATAAATTTTTGGTGAATGAATGAAACAAAAAATGAAATAATAAGTTAAATCCCTTATTTGTTAACCTATTGGCACAGCATAGAACCATGGTCCTGATAGTGGTAGGATATTACTTGAAGTTTGTATGGCAATCATTATTTCCATTGACAAAGATGATTCAGGATTGAGTAAAGGTAGAATTAAGACATTTGGTTAGCTACGATGTTCAAGAAATTGAGCACCTTCTGAGGTTAATGAAACAATCATTTCCGTAGCTTGGGATTGTTTAAATAATGCCTTGTGTATATAATCTTGATTGCTACCAGCTTTAATCATGTATAACAGTGATGTGTAATATTTAGCGGATATTGGACTCATACTACAGAAAAATTTTATCTTGGAAAAATTCTCATATATTTGGTAATTTCTAGATAATCTGTGGGTCAGCTGATTTTATCAGATTTTTTTTAAAGCAAAAACTATTCTCAATGGAAAAATGTTCCTTTATTGTAAAAGATGATTATCTTTAATCCCAGGAAATTTTAGAAGTATGATGAAATGCAAAGCTTTTAAATAAATACTGCCACATTTGAATTGTGTCACAGAATGTACAGTCATGCCTTGAGGTTTGTGCTTTCATAATGGCTAATTACCAGCTTAAGTGGATATTTTAGCCGATAATTTTCAATAGGTAAAATAATAAATATCAAAGACTTAACTTCTTTTCAGTTACTATGAAAAACAGACATTTACTTTGGAGATAGGCTATTATACATGTAGTGAAACTAGAGCAATGGAATGCATTTAAGGAGCATTTTTTAATAAATTGAATTTGGTTTCCTTTAATTATATTGATAAAAGTAAGAAACCGATATCTAAATTTTAAGTACATTTTTGTAGAAGTGGAAATAGGCCTTTCTCATAAGCCAAACTTTTGATATGTGTGAATTGATTTTGTGTGGAACACTGTAAATTTTTATGAATTTCATTGTCATTTATTACTGAACTAGAAATGCCTTAAAAAACCAGAATTGCAGAGTTTGGCTTCTTATATGGACAACAGTGATTGAGGCTATTGGTTTAGGGAAACTAACTTTGCCCTGTATATAGGATTTGATGAGTTTAGGGTCAAAAATAGAAGTATAACACACTTAAAAACTTGGAGTGCCTCAGAACATCATAACTTTGGGAGTCTACACAGACACAAAATACAAACTGTTAATTTTTCCCAATATTCTTTAAGAAGTCACCTTTTTATTATACCTACTCTGCTTGCTATAGTGTTAAAAGACTGAGTGTTTTACATATTTCCTGAGTAATTTGCTCTCATGGTATCAACAATAAACCAGGACCTTCTCAAGGTTAATATTTATTTCAAATTAAAACCTATTTCAGTAGGTTGATATCATTGCCAAATATTTCTTAAGATGGGAATTCATACTCAGCTATGAATATTATGAAAAATTGCAAAAGTATTATTCCTTTTTAGGTAAACTCCTTATATTGTGGCAGTTGTATGCAACTACAGATAGTAATTTTAAATTAAAAAGTCCCAGTCAAAATTACAGTTTAGTATCTATAGAAATGTGTTATTAGCTTGGCAAAAAGTAATGTATACTTGTCTGGGATTATAAGTAATGTAGTGATACCCATCGTAACCCTTTCATATATGGTAAAACTTTAAAAATCATCACTGAGATCTGCTTTTCATTTACATTTTCAAAATCTTAAAATACTGGCATCCTCTATATATGGAGTTTTTATATTTTAGATCAGGTAGTCTTCTTGAACTATGGCCTGAGAGCCAAATCTTGCCCACAACTGTTTTATTGGAACATGGCCACACCATGTATTATGTATTGTATTGTCTGTGGCTACTTTTATGCTACAGTAGTGCAGATAGTATTTGTGACAAAGATAGCATAGCCCATAAGGCCTAGAATACTTACTGGTTGGCCCTTCATAGGAAAAGTTTGCCATTCTGTATTTTAGAATAAGTAAATTATCATAGGGATTAGACATTTATAATTTGAAAGTATGGATTTTAAGGATTCTTTATTCCCAAAGTTAGAACTTTTTTTTTTTTTTTGGTCATGTGGAATATCTGGAAACTTTGACCATTGATTAGAGGTCCATGGAACCAAAGGATTTTTTAACTTTTACTAA